CTCCCCAGCCCTTTGCAACGTTGCCATCACCCTCATTGAACACTCCTGGCATCAGCTTCGCAACAACCTCCTTCAACACACGGCTCTCCACTTCACGTACTATCGCTACGTGGACAACCGCTTCATTGTCCACAATGAATAATTCCTTTCACATCCCGCCATCCAGACCCTCATCCACAACAACTTTTTCGGCGATCCTGTCGAATTGGAAACGGTGGAAGACTTTCACCTCTTAGGGTTCAACATCGACCTCCAGCAACGCACCATCACCTACATTCAACCCACCCAACCCTGGAAAATCCGGGACCACACCAGCGCCGGTAGCCAGCGCTTGGCTCTGTCCGGCTTAGCCTCGAGACTTCACTCCATCTATACCTACACGTTTCCACCCAACGACGCCACCGCTGCGGCTGAAGCCCTGGTCAACCTATATGCCCAAAAAGGGCATGACCTGCATGCGCGCAGGCGGTTTTTGAGAAAAAAGAGTTCCGTCTCTCCACCGCTCAGTCTGTGCGCCGATCACGGCATCTTGTGTGAGTCACACCCTGGTTCTAAGGGTTTCCCCACCTTCACTACCTTTTTCTCCATGACAAGAGTCTCACAGGCAGGGGGCAGTAGCCCACTCATGAGTCTACTGCCAACGAAGCTGCTCATGAGCTGGGGGGACATCGGAGCTGATCACTCCGACGTACCTGCTATGTTTTGTGGTATTCACAAGCCGTTACTCCAATCTTCCTTTTTTGTTTCCATGGTAGTTCATGATACTCCCCGCAAACCATTTTCCGTCCGCATTGCAGCTGCTGACTGTCACTTTCTTTTGAGCGCTTTCGGAAACATTGTTCAACAATACTGTTTTGCTGACTCCTGCACCTTTCCGTTCCATCGCCATCCTTCCCATCGTGGCAATTGAGTCTAACTGAAAACCCAAGTTCGAAGTGTGTAACCCTTGGAATCATAGGGATCCTTTTGGATTTTGTTTCACTGCAGGGGGTAGCGGCAGATCACTTGGGACCGCTACCAACGAAGACACCCATTTGATCTGGTGATATCGGAGTTGGCCACTCCGACGTACCTGCCATTTTCCTTCCGTTCTGAATGGCGTGAGGCTAAGCCAAGAACCTCGAAGTTTTGAGGTTTTCTTTGAACTGCAGATGCGAGCGGAACGTCGTCAGCCTGTTCGTTCGTCGTTCGTTTTCTTCTTCTTTGGGCCATGGAAGACTCAGGATCACCCCTTTCTTTCTTTGGTGTGTCCCTGGACGATTGTTCGTAGCTGGGAACACCTGCCTTTTCCTTTTTTCTCCTCTCCCTTTCTCTCCCTCTCTCTTTCTTTCTTTCTCTCTTTCCTCTCCACCTTCCTTCCTCCTTGGGTGTCCCTGGATGCTTTTGTCATAGCTGGGAACCCTTCTCCGCTCTTCTTTTGGTGTGTCCTCCTCCTCGTCTCTCCCTACCCCTCCCTCCTGTCGGGACCTTAGCTTGGGTTGCTACTAGGGGCTCCTGGCCTTCCTACTAGGTGCTAGGTCGCTACCTTGACGCTACTAGAGGTTCCTGGCCTTGCTACTACTTTATCCGCACCTTTTGGCGCGGAGCTTAAAACATGCCTCCCTTCGGGGAGGCATGTGTGTGTAACCCTTGGAATCATAATAATCCTTTTGGATTTTGTTTCACTGCAGGGGGTAGCGGCAGATCACTTGGGACCGCTACCAACGAAGACACCCATTTGATCTGGTGATATCGGAGTTGGCCACTCCGACGTACCTGCCATTTTCCTTCCGTTCTGAATGGCATGAGGCTAAGCCAAGAACCTCAAAGTTTTGATGTTTTCTTTGAACTGCAGATGCGAGCGGAACGTCGTCAGCCTGTTCGTTCGTCGTTCGTTTTCTTCTTCTTTGGGCCATTTCTCCGTTTGAAGACCCCCAGGATTCGCTGGTTCCCTACCGATAGTCTTAGGAAATGGAACCCTAGGCCGGCGTGTGGCACCGCTATCAAGTCAGTACGCATATCCATGAGTGTGTTTGGCTTCGCGCCAACCCGGGATGAGCCCGCAGAGTGCCTCCCGTGGACCCGTCGAACGGGTGTACGTCTTTCTCTCCCTTGATTTGGAGAGGTAGGTGTCCCATCTTTGGAATACCAAGCTGGCTTATGCCTGTACGTGACCGTAGCGGTCAGAGGTGGCAGCCCTCGGGCAAGCCGTACGTGGTCGCAGCGACCGAAGTCTGTTCAAGGTTCATTGGAACCTGTTGCGAGCTTAGTCCCCCTGCTTCCCCTTCCCTCCTCTTTCTTTCCTTGCTTTTTGGGGTTTTTCCTGAATGGAAGACTCAGGATCACCCCTTTCTTTCTTTGGTGTGTCCCTGGACGATTGTTCGTAGCTGGGAACACCCGCCTTTTCCTTCTTTCTCCTCTCCCTTTCTCTCCCTCTCTCTTTCTTTCTTTCTCTCTTTCCTCTCCACCTTCCTTCCTCCTTGGGTGTCCCTGGATGCTTTTGTCATAGCTGGGAACCCTTCTCCGCTCTTCTTTTGGTGTGTCCTTGGACGCTTGCGTCGTAGCTGGGAACACCTTCACCTTCCTTCCTCCTCTTTCCTTTTTCTCGTCTCTCCCTACCCCTCCCTCCTGTCGGGACCTTAGCTTGGGTTGCTACTAGGGGCTCCTGGCCTTCCTACTAGGTGCTAGGTCGCTACCTTGACGCTACTAGAGGTTCCTGGCCTTGCTACTACTTTATCCGCACCTTTTGGCGCGGGGCTTAAAACATGCCTCCCTTCGGGGAGGCGTGTGTGTGGAACCCTTGGAATCATAGGGATCCTTTTGGATTTTGTTTCACTGCAGGGGGTAGCGGCAGATCACTTGGGATCGCTACCAACGAAGACACCCATTTGATCTGGTGATATCGGAGTTGGCCACTCCGACGTACCTGCCATTTTCCTTCCGTTCTGAATGGCATGAGGCTAAGCCAAGAACCTCGAAGTTTTGAGGTTTTCTTTGAACTGCAGATGCGAGCGGAACGTCGTCAGCCTGTTCGTTCGTCGTTCGTTTTCTTCTTCTTTGGGCCATTTCTCCGTTTGAAGACCCCCAGGATTCGCTGGTTCCCTACCGATACTCTTAGGAAATGGAACCCTAGGCCGGCGTGTGGCACTGCTATCAAGTCAGTACGCATATCCATGAGTGTGTGTGTCTGTTTCATTTCTGCAGCGTTTGCTGCTTGTCCTCGGAGTCTCTCAATGAGAGCCTTCTCCCCCCAGGCGCTGTGTGCTTCCGATTGCACTATCCTTGTTGGAGCGGTTTCAGGGCTACTGCAAGTTGGCACTTCAATGCTGCTGGTTTGTGGAAAGACAGACGAGCACATCGACCACATTCTGGAAGATGTACAAAGCGATATTGTCCCGTGATTGTCAAAGCAGCGTTGTCTTGAAGATTGCAGAATGCTAATTCGATGCAACACTCCCAATACAAAGGTGCACAGCGAGTGCATCACGGGCATATTGGGCATAGTGCATCAGTTTTTTTGAACGATGATTTATCCACCCCATTGTGGTTCCCATTTTCGACTGGGATGTAAGGAAGTATCGGCACGCACTCTTCAGAGCCTTTTCTTCTGCAAGCTTGTCAAAGAGTGCGAACATATGCATCCATTGGATTCCATTGCTTTCTCAAGCTAATTGAAATCAAATCAAATCACATATATTCAAACCATATCAAACTGGTGTCAAGTTCCAGATCCTCTTCCTTTGTTTCATGAACGCTGCATAATCACAGCCGATTAACTTATATGTGTAGCATGTTCAGTATATACATGACATCATTAGCATTTCACTCTGTGTAGTTGACTCGACCCTTTTGATCAAGAGAACAGTTCGCATGGTAGCTGGTAGCGAAGCAAGGATAAGGGTAACCCCCCTTTGAGCGCATTTCTGATATAAGTGCATTTGCGAGTGTTGCAGCGCAACAGTGCTTGCTAGAAACAAAGCCAGTAAGCTGCGTTGGCACCACAAGAAAGTACAAGGAAAGTTATTCTTCCTTTCTACTGACAGAGCCAGCCAAGCTGAGAGTACAAATCAAGTGCTTTAATTGCTTGTATGTCCAACTCTGACTACACAGTATGGCCCTGCAGCAAGAGTTTTGCATTAAGATAGATAGGCCACTCGACTACAATTGGCCTTGCGAACTGCAGCTTTTCAAATTCAACTCACCAAAGGCAATCTCTTGTAGCATCTATTGGGGTGCTGTCATCCACATTGACTTTGTCGTGCCTTGCGGTAAATATTATGTACGTGATGTTGGTGATGGTGATCAAAAGTTCAAGGTAGTTGCGAGTCACTCGTTGCATCTCAACATAATTCACAGCCTTACACAAAAAATGTTGCAGAATAGACCATGTGCATATTTTCTTTGACCCTCAGCCAAGTAGCCGTTTGGATACGTCCTTTCTTCTGAACGGTATTGTGTCAAGACACTTTATATATTCCCCTGCGAGGGCGCGCACGCACGCACGCACACATACACACACGTAACCTTTGGAGCAATATGTTTCACTTTGATGCGTGACAAAGTATGTTGTGACATGTTGTCTACCTCACCAGTTTCTTGCGCTCAGCTCTTGTACTAGCACAACAAACAGGGCAAGGCAAGTGGCAAGTGGAAAACATCAGGCCAAAGTCAGTTGTCCGTTTCGATTCCCATGCTACCACCACAAGAAGCGCAAAGAATATAAAAGCAGAAAAAACAAGAGGCCCTATATAGGCCGAAATTATTAAACACCCTTAGAAGAAAATGGGAACCGCCCAGCATACTTCTCTCATTTTGCCGCTGCGAAGCAGCTTTTGTAAGCAAGCTGTTTCAGAGCTTTCTAGGGCAAGCGGCATGCTGCCTGCCAAGAAGCATGTTTTGCTGCCCAAGACGCTGAGTCCTTGTCAAGCAAAGATTGATGTGTTTGCATGGGCTTGAACACGAGATGCGAAATAAGATTATTTTCCGTTTTTCATGCGGCGAGCAAACCAATTGTTTCGGAGGCCTACGTGGGCCGCTTGCTTGGGCCTTTTTGCGCGGTTCTGCTTTATAGCCTATTGGGCTATGGCCGATGTCTTGGCTGCCGTGGCTACAATCCTTGACTCATTTAGCTTACTTCCATTCCGTGATTGCAAGGTCCAGTTCTGGGAGTGCGCCCAATTCAACACAGTCGTCATTTCTATTGCAAGTCCGTTGCTGGCTGGCAGGTACTTGCTGCGGCAACTGCGATGGTTACATTGACCGCTTAAAAACCAATTAAGTCATTAATTATCTAGAATGCTTTTTGATTTTGAAAATATGAATGAGCAAATTGAATAATTTGATGATTGGATTGGATATATAGTTTTAAAATAAATATTTTTGTTGTTTACGTAAATTTGAAATTTTGGGGTTGATTTTACCGCTTTAGAATAAAGATAATTTTAAAAAGCCTTTGAGATAGGATATTAGATAGAATTAAATATGTAATATATTGGTTCCGAATGGGTACGTTATGTTGGATTTTGTGGAATGAGGTTGGTTAGGTTATTTAGGGGATTGATTTTAAGAATAAAAATGATAGGATATTAATGTTATATAATTTCCGTGGATATATTTAAAATATGAGGGCCGTCCGTTATTATTAGTGAAGGAATTTAGATGAAATTATAAAACGTACATGTCGCGAAAGGGAAATTGTAGGCCGCGAAAGGCCGGCGATAGAATGGCGAAAGACATGTATTAATCTAGACATTATTTCGAACAGAAACACGGATTTTCGCGAAAGATCGGCGGTGCGCTCGCGAAAGGGCGTATTGCTTGGAAGGGCATTTGCTTATCCATGGCTTTGAAAAATTTGTTTAGATATCTTGAACACTTTAAATTTAATGCAATGGAACAAACTTGTTATAATGCGCGAAAGGAATACTTGTGGTTTTTCTGCAAATGCGAAAGGACCGCGAAACGCCGGCGATACAAGCTCAAAAAGAAGAGCTTTGTTGGACAATCCCTATACAATGATATCTAATTATGATTATATAAATCGATTATTTAGTTTTTTAATAAATATTTATTTATATTATCGTATGGATTATATTTGTTTTTAATGGTTTATTGTTTTAATATATCTTGTTTGGTGTAGATTTGATTTTATGATTTAATTAATATATATATAATATTATTATTTATTATATTAATTTCTATTTGGAAGGAATATAAAATATATTGAATAAAACGAATATATTATGAAAGAATGTTATATATATATATATATTTATTTTTTGATATATTTTTATTTTTTGTATTTTAAGATTGGTAGAAGTGATGTTGTTCGTTTTGAGTTGTAGTAATTTATCGTATCGGATGGATTGTTTTTAATGTTTGGTCTGAAGGTAGGTGGTTGGTGTAAGCGATAGTATTTAGTTCGCTTGAGTAATGTTTTCGTTAATGCAAATTTGGCGGGATTTAATTTTATTATTAGCCATTAATAAATTTAAGGAGGAATATAAAATCGAGACATAATGATCGTTTTACGGCATAGGGCCTAAATGAAGAATACTAATCAATACATAAAAATTGAATTATATGACCGATATTTTTTGGATATCGTAATTAAGGCTTGGGAAACGGTTAATTTGGATATAAATTAAATTGTTGGGCTTTAGAAAGGCATAAATAAAGGGATTATAAATATGCCATTTATTTACTAATTCTTGCAAGGTGGTTTTTGGCGGCTCCCTTTATGACAGTAGAAGCGGTGCAAATTATAGAGCCTTGATTTTTTATAGAATGCAAAAGGGTTTTTTGCCATCCAATTGAAATTTGATTAAAAATTGTATCCTAAATCATCTAGCAAATTCGGCTGCATCTCGTTACGTACCGCCGTGTTGGCGAATCCAAGGATTGAGCATATTCTACGTGCAATTTGATCGAAAAGATTTAGTGGCTGCTCTCCCCCCCCTATAGGTTAGCAATTTGTTAACCTAAAATTGCGTTCGAAGGACGTTAAGGATATAACACATGTTGCTTGGATTGAACCAGATCTGACCCGAAGGTGGTTGATCATTTCTTCAATCTTTATGCTATCGCAACGGCCTGTGGGCTCCGTTGAAGACCGGTCGGTCGATACCGCATGGCAATCAATTGTGTTAACCCATTGCCGCTCAGTTGGGTGAGCTGCTGATATAGTTCCGTGCGTTCCGGACCTCGCATCGAAAGATCGAGTCTCCAAGGGATTGAAACCTGGTGGTCATCGGGTATCGAGTCCTTGGGTAGCGGCTTCATGGCTGCAAACTTTTGGATCATCTCTGGCTTCAAGGTCAACTGTAGAATGCGCTTCAACATCTCGTCCAATTGAGTGGAACTCAATGGACCTTGTTTCGTAGGTTTGAGACACTTTGTATTGTGATCCCAACCAAGAAAAATCCAGTGATTGGACGTGGTCAGAATTTGGCGTATTCTCAATCCTATCGTCAAGATGTCGTCTGGTGCATCGAGCTTCAGCATGTGTGCCCGCTTCGAAAGCTCTTCGATGAGGGTGCGAAACAAAATTTATCTCAATGGCTGGATGACTCCTTCGTTCTGACGATGGTGGTGCCAATCCTTGGAAGTTTGTAACATCAAGGGCATCACATTGCCTTTCCCACATTGCAGGAACACTATGCACGACCTGTCCATGGACATGGCATTGAGCATACCCTCTTGCCGTAAACACAGGCGTGCCAGCATCATCGTCAGATCTCCTGTAGAGTTCGAGGAGCTGGAGGATCTGTTGGAGTGATGCCGACCATGTGGCCGGTCGAACGGTCCAATAGTGTCTGTCCGTGGTCTTTTGCCAAAATATTCCCCACAAATTTCCATCAGATCTGCAAAGTTCTGATCGTCGGCGTGCATGCTCTCGGACATGTTGAGATGTCAAGGCTCTATCTAGGCGTATGTTTTGGGCCAGCGTGTGCTCAATGTGAAAAAGAATGTGCACAAGCAGCTCTACTTGGTGTGTCCAGGAATCATCTGATCAATATAGTCTGGCAGGTCAGTGATGTCCGAGCTCCAGGCCCATGGCACAGGCATCAGTTGGCACAGGTGCTGTGCCAGGTTGCAAATCCAAATGAGGTCCAGGCAGACCTGTGGCAGAGCGGGCCAATGCACAATCCAATTCCCCAGATTGTCATGCCAAATTAGGCGTATTTCCCGGCCAAAAGGGCACTGAATGCAGAAGATGCGGCAGTCGTCGTGTCAACAAGCTCCAGGCCGGGTCAAGGTCAGACTCATCAATCTCAAATCGGAAATCATCCCGTAACGAAAGGTCTCAGGACTTCTGGGCTCCGGGTCAGGACAAACGGACGCATGTCTTGAATCTGAGACTTGCATGGTTGCATGACTGGACACAGGACCGAAATGCAAATCTGAGGCCAATTGATACAATCTGACCGGACGGGAGGCCTTCTTGAAATGGGTCCAAAGAGCAAATTCAATACTAAATGTGGCCTGGCAGTGGGCGCATGTCAATCGTCCTGGGATGACATCACGGCTGGGGATGAGTTCAAGTTCATCAGGTCTTTCAAATTGGTGAGCTGTTCTCAGGTGGGCAACAACTGCTTTTCTCCCAACCATAATAAGGCATAGTGGAACTTAAAGACCGTCATCGGTTCAGGAATGGGTCCTGTGCTTGGCATGCGAAATACCTGGGCAAGAGTACAGGTCGCGGAGCCTTTGGAAGGTCGTCCTCTAATGGCGGTCGATGAATTGGAGGTGTTTACCTGTGTCGAGCAGGATATGTCGGTGGACATATTGGTCGAGTGTGCTTGAGTCATGTATTGCATCAAACCTTGAGCACTGAGGAAACTCACATGACACTTGTCACACCGGTGCAAACAATTCTTGCTGGCCTGAGGGTCAATCTTAGGGGTGGCAGCTGACTCAACAATGCAAGGCTGTGGTGGTTTCGATCGTGTTCTAGGGCAGGATGGTGTACCCCAGTGGTTTTACCATCAAATGCGGCAATCCATGATCGTTTACTGTAAGCACCGGTATCACAGGAAAGTTCGGGGGGTACATGGTGTGGCCTGCCAGGATGGTGAGCTGATATAACATTCCACATGTGTGAGATTCTAGTTTCTGAGACGAAATACGGCACAATGGACATGTTCCCTTGCCTGATCCAAGATTGGCAGCCCAGCGCACGGTCTTTGAACGTTTTTGCAAACTGGAGCAACTTAACATGTTGGTCACCATAGTGACTTGCTGGTGGCAGAATGCACAGTGCTGTGCAAGCTCGGCTGCAGGATCTTGGTCTAGGCTCAATCCTTGAAAGGATTGATGTCTGAGATGCATTCTGAGTTCTGCACGAGCTGCAATTGGAATGATCGATCCCTTGGTGGCACAGAAGTGTGAACATGAATGTTTATTTAAATGTTCAATATACGCATGCTGGCAAACGAACGACTACAATGTGCACATGTATTGGTACCATTGACAGAATCTCACAAGGAATTGAATACCTCTTCGATTGGATAATCATATTGATATTGTTGTCTCAGGTGGCGTTTAAGGGGACCCGCCTGTCGAAAGGATCGATGGCGCTCAGGACACTGCAGTGGTGCTTCCGGCATGACCTGATCAGGAGTGGTTTCAGGGGGGTCAAATCCGATGGCGGATAGTCTGGGGTCAAACCACAAATGTCACCGCTCTGGTTGCCCATGGATCCGCTCAAGGAGCAACGACGTGTTTGGAGTGCCGTTTCAAGACGGGCATGTGTGTTTTGCAGAGTGACCCATGGAGCATCGAGTCTAAATCTCTGGAAGCATTCTACAGTAGGTTCATGAGTGAGGTGAACAAGTTCACGGATCATGCGTCTATGATGGATATTAATGGTGCTGACCAGTTGTTTAAAGCCTTGTTTAGTTATCCCCATTTCAAAAATACCATATCGAAGCTTTGGAAGAACGCATTGCCGGTAGAGCTTAAACTTAAGCTTGATGGGGATGACAGGGTCTGTGAGCCAACGTCTCAGGATATGGAAGCAATGCTGTGCTGCGGTGATTCGACGTTTCGTGGTATCATTCTCCCATGCACGATAGCTGAGTATGACACCGAGATAGGCCGTTTTTGAGACCAGAGGCAATTTCCAGTCGTGATCAGGCAGACTCAATTTGGGCCCTGCAGTGGTACGGATGATCCACTGACGTAGAAATGTCGGAGCTGCACGACCAACTACACGGCAAAGAGCAACACTTTTCTGGACATTAATGCGCAGACCATACGTTTACAT